GGATACTATTATTATTTTCTTTTCATCTATTTTGTAAAATTTTTGCTAGAGGTAGCTAGCGTAGGCTCACTGGAGAAAGAGGGAAAGGAGAAGGCACCACCTATGAGGGATGGTCACACCACAGTCCCTTCTCCATCCTTTTCAGGATTTTGGGCGCACATGCATATGTGCCCCATGTTTCTCAGTCTGCCAGGTCTATGAATGAATCCATACAGTAGGCCATGTGGGGTCCAGCTGCTTTAACTACCATGCCACTGGCTTGCCCTCTCTTTAAGGATGAGAAAACAAACTTGTAAAGTAACTTAACCTAGTTTCATGGGTTTCTAGCAAGTACATACAGTTAGACCCAGTTTTTTGATTCTAACAATCTGGCTCTTAATTGTTCTAAGTGATCTTTACATCTAGCTATGCATTGAAATCTATGAAGCTTATCATAATTCCTACTCTTGGCCCCATTCTGGAGTAGTGCCTAACCTTGTAGCGATTGTTTTCCCAAATGTATTGAGATATAATTATACGTAAAGTAAAATTTAACCACTTTAATTCTATATTAGTATATATTAGGTTGTCAGAAAAGTTATGACATGATTCTCAGTAAAAAGGTGTTATGATTTTCCCTTTTAACACAATAATTTGATGAAACGTGATAGTTATATACTGTTACATAAGTATCAACACAGTCAAGTTAATGGAATATTTACTTAACCATAAGAAGTTTTCTTTCTTTTTTTGAAGAGGTTTTTGCTATAGGCATGTGTGCTCACCAGAAAGACAGAGACAGAGAGACAGAGAGCTAGAAATCACCCTCCAGGGGGAATGGCCATGCTGCAATCTCCTCCATTCCCCTCTTGGGGTCTTGGGTATGCACACGCGCCTGGTGTGAGTTTAAGCCACTGGATTCGGGACTTGAACCACGATCGACTACATGGGAGTCCAGCAACTGCTGGTCCTGACCCTAAAAAGTTTTCTGTGTCAAGACAACAGGTGGCGTGGTTGGGGTGACTGGATCCCACATGGCCAATTGTAGTTTGAGTCTTGGACCTGGCAGCTTAAAAATCATGCTGGGCTGTGTGACAAGTGTGGAAGGGAGAATTGAAGAGAGGAAATTGAGTGTGGGAGAGGGAATCGTGTGTGGCCATCACTTCCTCCCAGTGATTTCTCACTTTCCCTCTCTGTCTTGTGCACACGTGGTGGCCAAAAAAAAAAAAAAAAAAAATTTTCTCTGTCTTTTGATAGATATCCTGATGTCTACAATTTTAACGACCTAGGCAGATGGTTCTGATGTACAGCAATGTATGGGACCACAGTATTGTGTTGTGTTGTCTGAAAATGGGTCTGGAGTAAGAGGGTAAAATGAGAAAGGAAAAAAAGACAGAAAGAATGACCTAGTTACTTCCAGATAAAGTATGCTGTACTTGCTTTCTGTGCCAAGACATGGAATGTGGAAAAGAGAATGTTTTAGACTATACCCAGCTTAAAAAAAAAGTTTCTCCTCCCAACATGATTTATTCTTTTTTTTTTTTTTGGAGAGGTTTTCACTATAGGGCACGTGCACTCGCCAGACAGACAGAGAGAGGCAGAGAGACAGAAAGCGAGAAATCCCCCCCCATGGGGGATGGCCACGCCGCAGTCCTTTCTCCTCCATTCTCCTCTTGGGATCTTGGGCATGCACGCACACGCGCCCAGTGTGTTTTAAGCCACTGGGTCCAGGACGTGAACCGCGGTCGACTACGTGGGAGTCCAGCGACATAGCCATTACGCTGGTCCCCCAACTTGATTTATTCTTAAGCTACATTAAGAGCTAAATGATTCTGGCCCAGCCTGGTGGTACAGTCAGTAGCAAAGTGACTGCACTACCGGAAGCCACATGACTGACTGTGGGTTCTGATCCCTGAGTCATCCTGAAAACATGCCCAGAGTGCATGTGTGCTCAGAATCTTGACAAGCTAGAGGGCTGGAGGAAGGGGATTGCCTGTGATGATACCATTAAGGGTGCTTTTCTGTCTTCTCTCTTGTGCACATATGCACTATATCATGAATAAAGTAAATAAAAAGCTGAAGGATTCTGATTAAAGTTAATGTAGATGGTTGAATAATTGCTTTGGGGTGGCCACTTGGTACATTAGGTATACTGTGGAAGAAAACGATACGGAAAGGAGAGCTGGGAAGGGATGGGTAAGACACTTGCTGGGTAATTTGAGGATGGGACCTTTTCCTTAAGGCACATAGAACTTTGGTTCCTTTAACATTCCTACTCCAAAAAAATCCAGTAGCATCTCTCCTATCTGCAGTTCAGTCAGGAAAGTAAGCTCAAGGCAGAAAGGTTTACAGCTGTGGCCCAGAGAACATTCAGATAATAAGACGAAAATGTAAAATGTAAATCTGAACCTAGAGAAGACTGGAGTGCCAGGGATCTGGAGACTCATTCTTAGCTCTGCCCCTAATTTTGGTAGATGACCTTTTCTAAATGAGCTTTTCAAGATCTCCATTCTGCTTACGTGATGGATAGTGGTGAGTAAAGTGAGTAAGTGGTAGTATGGTTTCAGCACATATCAATACATTGTAGTGACACTGGTTAGCATGGGAGAAGTAGGTTGCAAAGGAAATTCTAGGGTTTTTGTACAGGCTTTTATCAGTTGTATTTTGAAACTTGAATATGCTCAGCCCTTAACTATTTCCTTTTCTGGCCATCCTCCCCACCTCTACCCTGCTTTGTTTGATAAAGCATTTCACCCCTTTCCTGTATGGTGAAGACGTGAATGAGGGTACGTACAAAGGAGGAGACATCTCATTCTTACATCCCTTTTATGAATCACGCAGTTGGCTTCCTGGTGGATGTCTGCACTTTGGCACAGATTCTGGGATTCAGTTTCCTTATTTGTGATGTGTGGCTTCTTGTGGTCCCTGTGATTGACTTCAAGAGGAAATATCTGGAGCAGAGCCACAAGGCTGATTACAAGAGGAAGGAAGATAAGGGGAGAAGGATATGAGAGGTATTGTGAAAGGAAGAAGTAAAGATACAGGGCTATAGGTTGTAAATAAAATTATCCTCACCTCTTCAAATGGTTTTGGGTAATAGCTTTAGCTACGATAACACTGAGGTATCGGGGAGTGTAATCTTTGAGAATAACACCCTAGACAGTTTGAGTTCAAATGTTATGTATAAAGTTTGACTTTTAAAAAATAATTATTTTATTTAACTTTATTTTTTAATTTGATCAGAGAGGGATAGAGTGAGAGACAGACAGAGAGAAAGTGAGAAAACAAGCCACGCAGTAGGCCATGTGGGAGTCCAGCACCCTTAATCACCATGCCACCTGCTGGCCCCAAAAGTTTGAGTTACTTCAAATTCCTTTTACCTTAGTGTTCCCCTCAATATCCTTCCCTTCCCGCAATGGTTTCAGGGCTTTGTAGCAATGAAGACATTTAACAAGTCAAAGTGGAAAACAACAATAATAAATTTACTGAGCATTTCTAGTACTTTAACATACATCATGCTGTCTTACCCCAGAGCTCTCTATAAAATATTAGCATCTAGTGCATATTTCTTCTTAAGCAAGCCCACAACTCACTATGGGGAAAACAATGGAACATTTAAAACATTTTTACACTTACATGATTTTAGAGCTGAAAGGGTTATTTGGTCTGACCCTATCTTGTAAATGAGGAACTGAGCATGAGGTTCAAAGTGGGAAAGTAACTAGTTAGCAAGTCACTCAGCCAGTGAATGCTAGTGCATATCCTGAAAAGCCAAGGTGTAACACAGGGATCTCATAATAGAGATGCTCATGTCTGATTTTTCTGAGGCATTGGGGAACATTCTAAACTAGTGACTAGTTGTCCTAGTTACTTACCTCTTGGCTGTGGCTAGAAGACACAGACACCCCTAATCCTGCTACCCCTTCCTTCTGTTAATACAAGATTATGTTTTAGTGTGGGAGACTATATGAATAATGAATTGCCTAAGATAATATGTGTAAGATGAGCAGTAAGTATGATATATTTTGTAGCTGTATTGGAAGTGATTGGCTATATTGGTGTGATTAGGCAAGGTTGGCTAGCTTCCCAGAAAAATTGGAGAAGTCATTCCAAGTAGGGAGAGTGAAATTAGTCTAAATTGAAGTTTGATAGCTGGAAATTCCAGGGTTTGAGAGATCTTTGGCTTGAGATGGATTCAGTGGGGTTCTTAGTAGTTGGAGCCATAGTTTAAGCCAGATTTCAACAAAGATTTCATCAGATCCTCCAAAAATAATGTCACATTTTATACGTATTGTGTCCAACATTTAGGAAGATGGTTTAGGATTGTGCTATGAAAGTGGTGATCTTGGGACCAGCAGATGGTGTAATGGTTGTGTTGCTGGATTTCCACATGGCCCACCATGGTTTGAGTCCTGGACCTGGACCCAGTGGCTTGAAGGCTGGGTGAATGTGTGCTCAAAGTCCTGTCCCGAGAGGAGAGTGGAGGAGAGGGGATATATCTCTTGCTTTCTATCTCTGTGTCTCAGGTGAGTACACATGTCCTATAGGAAAAACAAAACAAAACAAAACAAAAAAGCTCCCAAAAAGAAAGTGATGGTCTTTCACTGTGGCCCAGGGCAATTAACATAAGCAGTATTTATTGTGATTGCTCTACCACAATAGTCTTTGGCCTCTTGCAGTAAAAATAGGGTTTCTTTCAGTTTCACCTTTTCTTCTATGAGCTCTCTTTTTCTAATTTGTCTGTGTCCTCTTTATTTTTATTTATTTTTATTTTCTTTTCTGTGTTCTCTATTCTATCACTGTCTTTCCCCCTAATTTTCTTCCATTTATTATTTAGAGTCTGGGCTACTATAGATTTGGGGAGGAGAAAGTGGAACATGAGCTGTGCCAGTAAGTGAATTTCCTCAGGTGGATAAAACTCCACTGCAGGCCACAGAGGGGCCTCCTCTTTCCAGCAATCAGACCAGGCTAACAGATTCAGCCTATGGGGGCAGAGAAGAGGGTGGGGGGCCAGTATTTCTTGGGCTAATGAAGAACTGCCTGATCCTTTGCAGCATAGGCAAAGGAGGCAGGAGCCCCCGAGGCGGGCTGTTTGCCTGGGCTGGGGATGCCTGGGCAGATGCGGAGGCAGCCGCAGCGGGAAAGGTGGCACTGCACTTGGATCGCTGGCGCTGCCATCGTTCCTAGGAGACCGAGGAGTAGTAAGCCTGCGGGGGAGGGGGAGCAAGTGGGTTGCTGCTTTTAGAAGCTGAAAGGGCTGCAGGGAGCTCTGGGTAAGACATTTTCTGCTGCTGCTGCCGCTTCTGCGGTAGAAGCTGCTGCGAGTAGTCAGAGGAAAGGATCGAGAGGGAGGCGGCTTCAGTTGCAGCCATGCTGAATCACTGCTGTTGATCAGATCTGCTGGTCTGCTGGGAGAACCAAGAACAGAGCTAGGATCCTCGCGTGCATGCACCGTTCAGCAGCCACCACCCCTACTGGGCCTCGAACAATGGAGGGTGATAGGTATGTATGTATAAGTGCATGTTTGTGTGTGTGTGTAAGTAAACGAGTACTTGCAATGCAGCCACCAGCTTTTGTGTTTGCATTGACTGGGCAGGCTTGTAAGACCTGGCCACTGATGGATCCCAGAGGGTAGTAGTGTCAGAGCAGGGAAGCCCCTTTCGAAATCCTTCCCTTCCAGGGCTCATCTCCAGAGATCTGACTTCTGCAAAGGCAGGTCTGGATTTGCTGGGCAGCAGAGTACCCTGAAATAGGGGACTTTCTGGCTGATGTTTGGGAATAGTTTTAGCTCAGGCTGAATCAGGATTGCCTTTTTTCTGGCTGTTTTAAAGAGGCATTTCCCTTTATTGGCTGGTTTTTTTTTTTTTTTTTTTTTTTTTTGGG